ACTCTTTTTTCTGATGAATTAAATGAATAAGATCGTGGTATTCACGGGAACTATGGGCTTGATAACACCACAACTTTGTCAAAAATCACTTTCACGATTTAATTTTTTTTGTTTTATTCCTGAGGAAGTTTATCAAAACCCTTGTGAAAATTGCGTGTCAAAATAATTCTGTTTCGATACAGTTAATTTTTTTCGATTGTCAGTTCGGTGACTTTTTCTGCGATTTTGCCAGCCATATATATTATTTTCCATAAACAGAATTGAAATAACTATAAACAAGCAGAAACTATACATACATGATGGTATAATTACTAACTGTTTTATTATCTGTTAAAATTTTTCTTTAATTCGACCGACAGAGGGGATAATACTACTCGCGGGAAAATTCAAATTAAAAACGAATAATTTTCGTTATGATCTAAATAATTTATGTATGACATGAGCTCTTAAGGCATGTTCACTTGGATTTTCCAAACTTTTTTTTTCCAAAAAGAACATTTAATAACAAAAATTTTGAAAAAAAATAAAGGTCCCGCTAAGTCAATTTTTGAAAAAGTTATGGCAATTTAAAAATAAAAAAGCGGTTTTTTTGAAAAATTCATAACTTTTTTTTGGTTGGCTAAAAAAATTTGAAAAAATTATGAGAGACGTTTTCGATAGGGTAGAAAAGGATGGTAAACTTTCAGCTTAATCAAAAGGGGTCAGGGTCAAAAGTGGTCGATTTGGCGTGGAATGCCCCATATACATATACATATCTGTATTGGATAGACGAAAACAAATCTGAAAAAATTCTAAAAAACGTCTTTTGGAGGGTGGCAAACGATAAACAATTTTCAGCGAAATCAAAGAAGGTCAGGTAAAAAATTTGTCGATTTGGCAACGAATGAGCCGCATACACTATGTGATTTTGCAAAATGAGAAGTAACACACATGTGAGATTTTGAGGAATGAGGATAATTGAACGTTATAGCAGGGACATAACATCGCCAAGGTGATTTTTCATTATGCAAACCAATCGCGCTCATAACTTCCTGGACTCATTCTACCGCAAGGATTGTTAATTATGGAACAGTTAGGTTGTCTGCCTACCACTCTTGATGCTATCAAATTCATCATCACCGCTTCAGGATCTCATTTTATTTTCTACCCATTTTCAACTACTTTTTGTTTCCAATTGTATTATGGTTTTACTATTTTTGTCTTCAGTTGGTCTCATTTCTTTGGAAAAAATTCTATCTCGTTTTTTTGAAAGAAATAATATAACTTATAATACACGGAAAAAAATTTCTGGGAAAATTTACGATATAACTATTGTAAATCTGGACTATATTTTTATTACTCTTAATTGCCAAATATTTTAGAAGAAAATTTACTATTGATTCATGAAAAAATACGACATTACTATTGTAAAAAGTAAGAAATTAAAATTTCCAGTGCTGATGCCTCTGTATCTTTCCGATAGAAGTATACCAAATTTTACAATAGTTGAATTGGAATGTTTTTCAATTAGTGTCAGTGACGGCCGTGCACAGCGCTAGACTCCAAGTTTATATAAATGTTGAGGGACATTCTTATTAGTTTACCTCGGATAGCGTAGAGGGAGAGTCTCTGGCTGCCAACAAAGAGTTCTGAGTTCAATTCTCGGATAGGACGAAATTTTCGACTTCCTTTTTCGGTTACTGTACAGATACCAATTAGTCCAACCTCCTATCTCTCTCCCTCCCTAAAATTTCTTTTAAAAATATCAACTGTGAATTTTTACAATAGTTCAATTGTAAGTTCATAAATTCATATTGTATAATTTGCTCTATAGTATTTGATATTTTAAGTCTCTTGCTAGTCTTGTTTATTGGATAAAATTTACAATAATAGATCGTAAAAATTACAAAATGAGAAGTATAGTCCACCGTTACTATTTTATTTAATAAAAATTACGATAGTAAAATAGTAAAAATTCCTTCAATTTTCTTTCCGTGTATAATTTAGTTATATTAAAGCATGAAAGAACACCTCAGAAATTAAGAAATAAACCCAACTATTTGCTTTTCATTTATCACCAAAAGTCAAGGTAATGAGGACTCATTTAGAATCTCCAACGTAATTAAATACTATGAATTTTTTAATTATCTTTTTATTCTAATTAAGAAGCATATAAATGAGTATGTTCAACTTATTATTTTTTATACTCTAGTATAGACCTAGGTCCTCTGGTTAGTCATTTTGGACAGTTTATTTGTAATATATGTCAGTTAGGCTATAGCTACATGGAAAAAACTACTTGATTAAAAAGAAATATTCTTAATCCAACCCATAGAGAACCTTTCCAATATGGTAATATCAAGCTATATAAAACAATAGTAAAATAGTTTTTTAATTATTTATTCTTTATAGAAGTATGCACTTCAATTAACATATTATATCAAACACAAAATTTGGAAAATTCAGAAATGCATGCCTAATAACGGTCATTTAATTTTTAATAAAAGTCTTGCTTTAATTTAATATTCAAATGTTTTACAGAATTTTCATCGCAGATAAGAAAAATACGACGCAATCGCACCACTGAACAGATAACAGGAGGCTAATGCGTGTCTTAAGGAGACCCAATCGTCTAAGGACCTTAAATTTGACAATTTTATAGGATTTTGTTTTTTCAATGAAAATAATGATCAATATTTTTTAACTTCGTAAATTTATGATTTTAATTTTAAAATATACAAAAATATTAAAAATAATAAAAATTACATTGAATTGTTCAAAAATGACGTTGAAAATGCCCGGACCTATTTTAATTATCGCAGAAGGTAAAAATAAAAGTGTAAAATGCCGCAGAACTTAGAATACAATTGATACCATTACAAAAATTAAACTGTAAATTCTGAAACAACTATGTAATCGAAAAATCAAGAAAAAAACTATCGGTTCCTTTTGAGCTTAATATTTATGTTTTCAGGAATTATCGTGACTACATACAAAAAATGGGATACATACATTCGGAGGACCGCGTTAATTTTTTTTAAAGTACGATATTACTATCCCAAAGAGTAAGAGAGTAAAAAATAAGATGTAAAAATATTATTATTCTTGCATTCATTTTCAAAATTTCCAGTTCTGCCTCTGTATCTTTCTAATAGAAGTAACAAATTTTACAATAGTTGAATTAAAATGTTTTTCAATTAGTGTAATTGTTGGCCGTGACTAAGAGTTCTAGATTCGATTCTCAGTCGAAAATGCCGATTTGTTTTTTTGGTTACTGTAAAGTTACCAATAAATCCCAGCTCCTATCCTTCTCCCCCCCCCCCTTACAGTTTAAAAAAAATCGATTGTCCATTTTTACGATGATTGAATTGTAAAGTTTACGAATACATCTTTTATAATTTGGTCTATAATATTGGTCTTTTTAAGTATTGCACGACTCATGATGCGAAGCATCAGAGAGTGCTTTACGATCGAAAAATTTTTTTCGCCTCATTTTGGCAGCTATTTTTATTATTATAGCCTTGTAAGTTCACGGAATCAAGATATTTTGCATACTATTGTCGAGATAATTTAATGGAGATTAATTCCATACTTTTTAAAAATTGATTTACTGTAATAGAATCGGAAAAAAACATCAAAATAGGTCAAAAAATTTTCCTGTCCGTCATGTGTGAAACCCGGAAACACTGTAACTTGTGAAAAAATCCATTATT